AATAGGCAAAAGATTGAGGCAATCAGAATGCTTCCTTCCCTCCTCTCAAGTTCCCATGGAAACCTGATCCAAAAGCTGTGATTAATGCGTGGTGTGGAACTGGATTTGAGCCCAGAGAGGGTGTGGTTTACCCAAGAACCAAATGGCAAAGATCTGCATCATTTCACAGAATGAGGAGGCAGGGGGAAAGATAGCGAGATATGGAGAGATGTGATACAGACAGACAGGCGAATAATAAGAGAGAGAGAGAATTGCTCATGTTTTCACTAACCAGCTCTGGGTGTACTGGATGTCTGGTTCTCCTCTACAATCTGCTGGGTTAGTTTACGCCGGGCCCAAGTCAGGTCCGAATCCTCTTTGGAATAGGCTGTAAAAACACATAACACATAGACCTTTATCTTTAGTGGGTCTTTAAGTTTTTTTTTTGTGAAAGCTATTGGCACAAATTTAGCTACTCAAGACAGTTTATACCAAATACTTCCCTCCTCTCAAGTTCCCATGGAAACCTGATCCAAAAGCTGTGATTAATGCGTGGTGTGGAACTGGATTTGAGCCCAGAGAGGGTGTGGTTTACCCAAGAACCAAATGGCAAAGATAGTTCTCATTTGCATATGCAAACTAATCAGTTCCAAATATAACTGCGATAGGCTAACTGCCTGCATATTAGAATATGTAGACAGAATGTAAACATGTAGACATTTAAAATTCAAGAGCGCACGACTGACACATTACAGGAAACTATATATTTGAAAATTACTTATATTTTAATCATTCTTTTTTTTTTTTCAATGCTTAGTTGCCTGTTCATTTTTTTGTGATCATCACCAAGTACAGAGCAGTCAATTGTCAATCACCTAGGTGTATCTACATCTATTTCATCTACAGTATACAGTTTGTTCGGTTTTTGCCATATCTGTAGATCCACATCTAAACCTGCATTGTTCTTGACATGGTGATGTTATGGTCTATTATTAAAGTGAAGCTCCAGTTACTAAAAAATTAACCCTCGTTTCATTCAGCTGCAGATTCCAATGGCATTTTTTAGGAGCTGCTTAACATTCAGACTCAGCCTCCCAGAGGAACTCATTACACAGACAAAGCTGGAAAAGTTAAAGGCACTGTGAAGAGATCAAATTTTAAGCAACACAGAACGATGATGCAGAAGTAGGTCACATTGTACATGTTTGTACATGTTTTTTTCCTCATCTCTGTCAGCATCCGTTTGTGCTTTTTGACAGGGTGTCGAAATGTCATCTCTGGTACAACTCATTCGGTAGTTGATATGTCCTGAGGTGTGACATGCTATACTCAATTATAAACAATTTTACTTTAACCTTTATTATATATCCAGCTTTTATCAGCTCATATTGTGAGATCACATTTTTGTACTTTCAAAATTTTTTTAACCACACTTGTCAGACCACAAGTGGAGGCAAAAAGGTGATTAAAATGGTACAAAAATAAAAGGAAAAGGTGACAATTTGAAGCCTATGGACGTGTTATGCATCAACTAGCAGTCCTTACCCAGCTAACAATTTTTGGTTCCAAGAATGTTATTTTTTATGGTTTGTTTTTGGTTAGCCAGGAAAGTTTATTTAACTGAAATAGAATGTTCGTTTTTGGTTTGCAGAAAGTTCCCATAACGTTATTCTAACATTCCCATAACGTTACTCTAACGTTCCCAGAACGTTATTCTAACATTACTCTAATGCTCCCCTAACATTATTATAACGTTCCCAGAATGTTATAAGAAGTATTTGGTTCCCAAAAATATAACCAAATGGGAACGTTCTGTGTTTGCTGGGCAGTCGTCTAAAAATTATCATAATTTATAATCAGACTTTCTTCTATTTTACCCAATAGAAAATATTTTGAAGAATTTTGGGGTTCAAACAATATTGGATCCCACTGACATTTCTAAAAAATATATATATATAATATAATATAATATAATATAATATAATATAATAAGAAGAAGAAGAAGAAGAAGAAGAAGAAAATAACATGGACACATTCTTAAAAATATATTTTTTGTCCATGTTTAGAATGACAAGAGGATGAGTAAATGATGACAGAATTTTCATTTTTGGGTGGATTATCCATTGAATTAATATATATTGAATTCAGGTATATGACCTTATATTCATTTAGATGTCATAAAAAGCCATTTGAAGTATCTAAGTACTCCAGGTAAGAACCTTAATTACAACAAAATTTACCTCTTAAAAGGCAATGTGATTAAATGGACTCAGCTGAACAGATCTTCTCTAATGTCTGAAGAACTTCTAAACCCCTGCTGATTTAACCCTTGAACCTCTGGAGACGAGTAGGCTAATAGCCTAGTGAAGACCCAAGACACAGGTGTGATGTCCAGGTAACAATGCTCTAGAGGTTCCGGGGAGGTCAATGTGAAATATGTCAGGCTGAAGCAGCGGTCACAGTCATGCCCTTTAGAGACAGCCAATTATGTGCCTGCCATGGCCTGCCACCCTTGCAGTTCACTTAGTCCCTGCTGCTCCTCCACTAGGCTACTGCTTTTGGGGTTTAGAGCGTGATGCTTTAAAATCAATGGCATGAAGAAATTGAGTAATCATGTTCTATGTAATTATTATTATGTTGATTGTAAGTGCGCAAACGCTTCCGTTACTTTTAAGGGGATAAACATTTTTAGTACATTTCTGACAATGAGCAATCTGTTTGCAAACTAATTGTAACAGACATTTAGGATTTTTTTTTTAAACAATTTTTTTTCTTATGTAAATGTGTAATAAAGTGACAAATATACCAGTGGCCTACTTATATAAGGGTAATTTTTTTTTTTAGATTGAGATGTATGTTATTTGTATTTGATTTATTTGATGTATGGTTTGTTAGGACAATATTTGGCTGAGATACAACTATTTGAAAATCTGGAATCTGAGGGTGCAAAAAAAAAATAAAAAAATCAAAATAAATAGAAATCGCTTTTAAAGTTGTCCAAATTAAGTTCTTAGCAATCCACATTACTAATCAAAAATTAAGTTTTGCTGTATTTACGGTAGGAAATTTACAAAATGAACCCCCACTCGCGCAATTCCTACCCTGTTCTTGATTCCTAGTGGGTCTTATAATTTGGTTTGAGCATGCACACTATTACTGCTGCTCATGTGGTTGATTCACCATATTGCATAAAAGAAACGCATTAATATAATAGAAACTCGTCAATTAATCACGAATGCTCCACATCTCCACGACAATGAAAAACACTCAAAAGGATGATATTCATATAGGAATATAGCCTATATAATGCACCGCGGTAGGACGGGAAATACGCACATACAATATATATATATATATATATATATCAGTATTAGCAGCGTAAAGACTTGTTAATGAATAAACGCACCTGTTACATGAAGAATTTGAGCGAAGCAGGAGACGGCGATGATCCCGACAGCACATATGAAGAGCCGATAGAAGAGCCGCTGCCGTCTGGATGCCAACACCGCCTTCATCCCTCCACCACACCTCTCAAAACATGTCCATCCAAGAGAGAAGCCCTCTTCTTTCATTCACACCACCTATTTTGGCCTTTCTTTTCAACATACGGCGGACTAGCTTGCTTAAATTCAGCCATACGCCTGTCACCTCAGCATCCTATTGCTTCAATAAAGATACACTATCATCTTTCACTTAACGATATTTACCCCTTCCTTGATATTTAGTAATATCAAGATACAACGAAAATATCTTAAACTGTCACTGAGCGCGAAATTATTCAAATGTTTTCACATATTGTCTCAGCTTCTAAGCATTCTAATCACATCCACCTCCAGCTCCATCTGTGTCCCTCTTTGTCGCGCTCTCTCCTCCCTCCACAAGCGCTGGACTCCGTCACTGAGGGTGTTTCCCAGGCTCACAACTGCGCCCTCATGCAGGGTTCACAATAATAACAACACCCTTATCCAGCTAGGGTAAATCAGCCCAGCGCAGTGGTTCAAGGCTAGATACACCGACCTCAAAAGTAATTAGGATACTTTCCACGAATGGGATACAAAATGGGGTGAGTAACTCTTAAAATGACTATTTTTAACCTCATGAGTAGGAGCAGTAGTACTAGTACAACTCTAATGTAGCCTAAGTGATGCAATTTCTGCATTGCATTCAATTGACACTAAACAAAATTAAATAGACATGTAAAAAAATGAACGGTAATAAGTAATAGCTGAAAATAACTGAAATTATGTTTTGTAGTTATTCATTTATAGGTAATTCACATTAAAGTAAAATATTTGTTTTCTGACAATACTTTTGGTAAAAGGGTTGAAAATTCATGAAGACTAATTCGATCTAATTGAGAGACTAAGACTGATTGTTGTTTGACATGTAAAGGAATAGTTCACCCAAAACGAAAAATCCACACAACTCCAATCAATAAATTGATTTGTTTTTCACAAACACACATCTTTTTGATTCACTAGATGTTAATTGATGGACTGGAGTCGTGTGGATTATTGTGATGTTTTTAACAGCTGTTTGGATTCTGATGACACCCATTCACTGGAGAGGATCCATTGGTGAGCAAGTGATGCTAAATTTATCCAAATCTGTTCTGGTGAACAAACAGACTCATCTATATTGAATGACCTGAAATAGAGTAAATTTTCAGCAAATTTTCATTTCTGGGTGATCCTTTAAGACATAAAAATAAATATCACTGCATTAGATAACAATAAAACCAAATGGCATATATTTTAAAGAAATATAACATATGCATTGGTACTGATTCAAAATAACAAATATAAACATAAGACTTAAGATAAACAATATTCAGTTCCATACAATAAAAAAAATGTTGTGTTTTATAACTGAGGACAAAAGAAAATGACAGCTTGGCATGTAGCACATTCACACTTGTTTGAACAGATTATTTGGCACATTAATGACTGTAAAAAAAAAAGAAAAAGAAAAAAAGAGCAAGTAAAACAATTCACTCACAAAAAAAAACAAAAATACTCCCCCTTGCAAAAAATTGGTAGCTTCACAAATGCAAATATTACACAATAGAACAAGTAAGAAAAAAATGCATAATAAAATATTTACTTTACATACACCAAATTAACACCAAACAAAAACTTTAAGACTGCTGATGAGCAAAAACAATTGTAAAGTGAAATCAGAAATCAGCATGTCTTGCTGGTTCTTCAGATAAAAAATAGCTGGTAAGAGCTGCTAATTGTTTGGTGTGAGCACAGCATGCAGTCGCTGCTTCAGGCTCAACAACATGCCATTCTGCATCAGCTGGGCCAATGTATTAAAATTGCAATGAGAAAATATCTATCAGTGCACACCCTACTTCGTGGGCTCTAGTGAACCTGTCACCTTGAAGTTTATGCCGTCTCCAGGCAGTGGGGAAGGTATCAAAGGACAGAGCCAGCAGATGTACCAGTACTTGCCCAAGCATTCCCTGATGTTAGCCAGCGCTCCTAGGTTGTAAGGCTGCCGTGTGGAGTACCACTCACGTGTGGTCTGTCCCCTCAGCATCAGAGCCACATGAAAGAAGAGGAATGCCGCAACCAATAGGAAGCCCAGTACACAAGTGTCAGCAATGAATGCAAAGGCAAACGCTCGTGCCGTCACCTGTCCTGTTATTGGAGAAAAACAGATGTTAATTGTTATTTGTTTGACAATTTAAAAGGGGGTCATATAATACATTTAAGAATAATATAATTATTTCCCAAAATCATAATTTCACTACCATTTTCCACAACCTTTATGGCCCTTAGAACTTAAAATTTTTTGTTGTAGGTGCACCGATTTAAAAATGCAGGGTCAGTAAGACCTTTTTCATTAAATATTACAATTTTCTAGTGCTGGACGGTATACCGGTTCATTCCAAATACCGGTGTTTATTTTTGTTATGATATAAATTTTTAAAATACCGCAATACCGGTGTATGTCGCTTAAACAACGTTCGGAACGCGACACTGTTTGAAAGGGGTCCCTTTTCACTGTTGCACTGTGGTGAGGGAACAGCTGTATGTGTTACTAAGCGTGAAAGTTCCGAAACTGAAGCTGTAGAACTAATAGAACGTGATGACACAGAAGAACTCATCCACAATATCCACACTGACCGCCACAAATATCCACCGCACCTGCCATCAGCTACCGCGTCTCACACACACACACGAGCGCGACTTTAGCAACTTTCAGACCCTTTTAGAGGCTTTT